GATCAGAGCAGAACTGAAGGAGATAGAGACACAAAAAACCCTCCAAAAAATCAATGAATCCAGGAGTTGGTTTTTTGAAAAGATCAACAAAGTTGACAGACCGCTAGCAAGACTAATAAAGAAGAAAACAGAGAAGAATCAAATCGACGCAATAAAAAATGATAAAGGGGATATCACCACCGACCCCACAGAAATACAAACTACCATCAGAGAATAGTATAAACACCTCTACGCAAATAAACTGGAAAATCTAGAAGAAATGGATAATTTCCTGGACACTTACACTCTTCCAAGACTAAACCAGGAAGAAGTTGAATCCCTGAATAGACCAATTGCAGGCTCTGAAATTGAGGCAATAATTAATAGCCTGCCAACCAAAAAAAGTCCAGGACCAGATGGATTCACAGCTGAATTCTACCAGAGGTACAAGGAGGAGCTGGTACCATTCCTTCTGAAACTATTCCAATCAATAAAAAAAGAGGGAATCCTCCTTAACTCATTCTATGAGGCCAACATCATCCTGATACCAAAGCCTGGCAGAGACACAACAAAAAAAGAGAATTTTAGACCAATATCCCTGATGAACATCGATGCAAAAATCCTCGATAAAATACTGGCAATCCGGATTCAGCAGCACATCAAAAAGCTTATCCACCATGATCAAGTGGGCTTCATCCCTGGGATGCAAGGCTGGTTCAACATTCGCAAATCAATAAACATAATCCAGCATATAAACAGAACCAAAGACAAGAACCACATGATTATCTCAATAGAAAAAGGAAAGGCATTTGACAAAATTCAACAGCCCTTCATACTAAAAACGCTCAATAAATTTGGTATTGATGGAACATACCTCAAAATAATAAGAGCTATTTATGACAAACCCACAGCCAATATCATACTGAATGGGCAAAAACTGGAAACATTCCCTTTGAAAACTGGCACAAGACAGGGATGCCCTCTCTCACCACTCCTATTCAACATAGTGTTGGAAGTTCTGGCTACGGCAATCAGGCAAGAGAAAGAAATCAAGGCTATTCAGTTAGGAAAAGAAGAAGTCAAATTGTCCCTCTTTGCAGATGACATGATTGTATATTTAGAAAATCCCATTGTCTCAGCCCAAAATCTCCTTAAGCTGATAAGCAACTTCAGCAAAGTCTCAGGATACAAAATTAATGTGCAAAAATCACAAGCATTCTTATACACCAGTAACAGACAAACAGAGAGCCAAATCATGAATGAACTTCCATTCACAATTGCTTCAAAGAGAATAAAATACCTAGGAATCCAACTCACAAGGGATGTAAAGGACCTCTTCAAGGAGAACTACAAACCACTGCTCAGTGAAATAAAAGAGGACACAAATAAATGGAAGAACATACCATGCTCATGGATAGGAAGAATCAATATCATGAAAATGGCCATACTGCCCAAGGTTATTTATAGATTCAATGCCATCCCCATCAAGCTACCAATGAGTTTCTTCACAGAATTGGAAAAAAACTACTTTAAAGTTCATATGGAACCAAAACAGGGCCCGCATCTCCAAGACAATCCTAAGTCAAAAGAACAAAGCTGGAGGCATCACGCTACCTGACTTCAAACTATACTACAAGGCTACAGTAACCAAAACAGCATGGTACTGGTACCAAAACAGAGATATAGACCAATGGAACAGAACAGAGTCCTCAGAAATAATACCACACATCTACAGCCATCTAATCTTTGACAAACCTGACCAAAACAAGAAATGGGGAAAGGATTCCCTATTTAATAAATGGTGCTGGGAAAATTGGCTAGCCATAAGTAGAAAGCCGAAACTGGATCCTTTCCTTACTCCTTATACGAAAATTAATTCAAGATGGATTAGAGACTTAAATGTTAGACCTAATACCATAAAAACCCTAGAAGAAAACCTAGGTAGTACCATTCAGGACATAGGCATGGGCAAAGACTTCATGTCTAAAACACCAAAAGCAACGGCAACAAAAGCCAAAATTGACAAATGGGATCTAATTAAACTAAAGAGCTTCTGCACAGCAAAAGAAACTACCATCAGAGTGAACAGGCAACCTACAGAATGGGCGAAAATTTTTGCAATCTACTCATCTGACAAACGGCTAATATCCAGAACCTATAAAGAACTCAAACAAATTTACAAGAAAAAAACAAACAACCCCATCAAAAAGTGGGCAGAGGATATGAACAGACATTTCTCAAAAGAAGACATTCATACACCCAACAGACACATGAAAAAATGCTCATCATCACTGGCCATCAGAGAAATGCAAATCAAAACCACAATGAGATACCATCTCACACCAGTTAGAATGGCAATCATTAAAAAGTCAGGAAACAACAGATGCTGGAGAGGGTGTGGAGAAATAGGAAGACTTTTACACTGTTGGTGGGATTGTAAACTAGTTCAACCATTATGGAAAACAGTATGGTGATTCCTCAAGGATCTAGAACTAGATGTACCATATGACCCAGCCATCCCATTACTGGGTATATACCCAAAGGATTATAAATTATGCTGCTATAAAGACACATGCACACGTATGTTTATTCTATTCACAATAGCAAAGACTTGGAATCAACCCAAATGTCCATCAGTGACAGACTGGATTAAGAAAATGTGGCACATATACACCATGGAATACTATGCAGCCATAAAAAAGGATGAGTTTGTGTCCTTTGTAGGGACATGGATGCAGCTGGAAACCATCATTCTTAGCAAACTATCACAAGAACAGAAAACCAAACACCGCATGTTCTCACTCATAGGTGGGAACTGAACAATGAGATCACTTGGACTCGGGAAGGGGAACATCATACACTGGGTCCTATCACGGGGAGGGGGGAGGAGGAGGGATTGCATTGGGAGTTCTACCTGATGTAAAGGACGAGTTGACGGGTGCTGACTAGTTGATGGTTGCAGCACACCAACATGGCACAAGTATACATATGTAACAAACCTGCATGTTATGCACATGTACCCTAGAAATTAAAGTATAATAATAATAATAATAATAATAGTAATAATAATAATAAAAGAACATTGCCATGAATTCACTCTGATTGGTTTTATTCTCCTTCAGTCCAACCTCACCAAAATGGGACTCTGGTTTACATTATTAGTGAGATGTCACAAGAGTCTTCAATTTCACCATTCTTGTTCATAATGTTTGGTATTATTGAAGGCAGCACTTTATATCTATCATCTTGGATCCTAAATCTGAAAAAACTAAGTTATACTCACTATAATAATTAAAATGTTAAGATATGTCATAGCACTCAGAATTCCTAACATTTTCTTCCTGAGGTGCCATCGAATATTTTTCTATTACTCTAGTATTTGTTATAATAGTTAAAATGTTATTTAAATAAATTAGTTCACCTTCTTTGGAGCTCTTCTCCTAAACTCTAAATTTATTTGTATTTTCATTCTTTATTACTGACACTACTCATGAGGCTAAACAAATAAATCCAATAGTGGATTATATCTATTTAGATGAATAGTAATTTTGTAGTATTTCTGCAGTACTAGAAATACTAAGTATTCCTTGGTTAAACTAGGAGTTGTATTTTTTTAATAAAAAGAAAAGAAAAAACAGAAAAGAATAACAAAACAAGATTCATTCAAGAGATCATATTCTACCAGATCTTTGTTCTATAAGCCTTGGCCAGTTTTAAACCCTTTTAGAGTCTCCATTCCCCCATGCGTGTAAAGGTCTATAGTATATAATATTTGTCTTTTCATAGGGATAAGTATTAAATGAAAATCTGTTACCTGATACGTCTTTCGCTTTCTTGTGTGGTATACACTCACCTATGACCACAGGCATAGCAATGCAAACCATTTTATGTTGGCTTCAACCACCCAACCACCTTTATGTAGACAACATCTGCCCTCAATCATATGCAACACCACTTTTACTGCACCCGGGCTTCTCCCAGGTCACAACTAGGAAAACAGAAGGAGCCCACTGTGATTATTCCCTTGCATAATTATAAGGTTCCTGAAAATTACACATCTTGGATGTTGTTCAGCCAATGGGAGAAAGAAGTGGATGGATAAATGTTTTTCCACGTTGATCTGATCCTGTGGTGGACAATTCCAAGTCATTCTACATGCTCCTAAAAGGTCCTTACAAGATTGAGCCAAGTTGCTCTTCATAAAGTAAACTCAAAAATGCACCCTTTCTTTAGATTTTCCTCTTTGATTCTTTCATCTTCCATAGTGTCTCCTACTTGCTTCCTGGGATCTTGTGCTACATAAACTGTTTGAACCCAAATCTTTGACATTAGCTCTGTTCTGGGGAGAGGAGGATCCACGTAAGACTAATGGATATAAATGCGTGTTCAACATGGCTTAGGTGTGTTGCCGTTAGCTTGATTGGGGTTGAGCCTTGAGGACGCATCAGTAGGTTACCCAAGCCTCCTGGACCCAATCATTCCCACTTAAGATCACTGGTGAACGATCCTTACTCTCCTTACCAGTGGGAGGTAGGAACCTTGGCACTTATGCCTGCTAACAAAGAGCAAAGTGTCTGTCCTAGCAGTTGTTTAAGCTTCACTTTTCTCTTGGTTGAAAATCCACATTCAGATACTAGACTTTAAGTAACCTTTAGTATAAGCATACAGTTTACCTTATAAATTACATCCTAGTCTTGTTGTCTACATTTCTAGTTTATTCATCAAATCTGCTTTCCTATATCAGCAGAAATGCATGTCCTTCATTCTTAGACAACTCTCACTGCTGTTGAGACAAGTCTGCAGATGCAAACTATGGTCTTCCAGAAATGATTACTCTGAATAGACAACATACCTAATTTCAAGAGAAATGATCTCAAATCTGTCACATTATATGTGCCCCAAATCCAGTTACACAGTCATATTGATTTTTACTTAAATCTCCAAAATTCTTGAATGCAAAAATGTAAGCAAAATAGTAATAATAAAATAATAACAATGTGAACAATATATTTGGGTGCCAGATTACATAAATTTATTAGATTAAAATTTCCATTTTCAACAGTTTTTGGATGAAAATCAGATAGCATATATTCGATCAATGGTAAAGATATTAGAACTTAATATTAGGTTACTTATTAATTTCACAGTCTGCCAGAAGTTGGTGATGCAAGAAGCTGGTGGAAGAAGAAAAAAAGGATATTGGGAACTGGCAAGAATGAAAACAATGGCTGCATTCAGTAGAGACTTTGATCCCAATACTCAAAAGGATCTAGAAATTTAGCAGGTGAATTGATAGAAGCGAGATCCACAGATTGGTCTATAACAAGAAGACTGCCAGGCTCTAGAAGCTAAGTAGTTTGGGTAGCAGAATCTGGATCCATAACTCAGGGAAGGAAAACCACAACCTCCATATTTCAGGAATCTGAAGCCACTGGATCCACTTCCCAGCGAGTAGCAGCTCCTAGATCCATAGCCCTGGGAGTGACAGCTGCTGGACCCAAAGCCTAGAGATCTGCTGCAAGTCGTCTGGCAGGGACTGCAGAGCATGGAGGTCCTGCGGCGGTAGCAGGATTTCCGGCAGCTGGTGGGCTCCCAGCAGGTCTTCTGACAGTTCCTGTAGAGAGAGGAGCCCAGCTGGCAGATGCTGGGAGAGCAGAGTGCAGTGCTGTAGGGGTTGCAGCCTGGGTAGTGCAGGTAGCCCCCAAAGGAGCGGGAGGAGAAGTTTCCAGAGCAGCAGTTGTAGGACATGCTGATGAGATGTGAGTTCAGTTGAGTGTACCCGGGAAGATTCTGAGTTTTAATGTTGCATCCTGGACAAGGGCATTTATATCCTCTCAGCAACAGGTGTGGTGCCCAACAGAGTCATCCTTTACATATTTGTGGTCCCTCATTTACATATATGTAACTCCATAATCTTGTCTGTAATTGCATTTGAATACTTTTCCATGTATTGTATTTATGGGTGCTATAATTTTGGTGTTACAGCACAAAGCCAATGAACTGCACTTATGTCAGAAATGCTATGACTGTTTTACGTTAATGTCTAGTTCATCATGACAAGGAAAGCTCTTCCTGTTTCTTTGGCACATGCTACCTGCCTCTTTTCCTGTGTACTCACGTCTGGCTTTGCTAGTGGATGTTTTCCTCCTAAGAGTGGGGAAAGAGATAACATTAGTTTTTTTCTGGTGCAATGGATTAGTTTCTACCTGGATGAGAACATTTGTGAAAATGATCTGTCTTGTCACCATTCATTGCTATACTCCAAAATTACTTTGTGGTTATTTTTTAGGGCAGTAAGAGAAAATTAATACATTAAGTACTACAGTTATAAAGTGTGTCTCATATCCAGTGAAGAAAGATCAAGAACAGGCAAACCAAAGAGATAGAAAGAAATGGCCAGAAACTGAAAGAAACCTTGCCATGTATTTAAAGACAAGATAACAAAAAGAAGTTTGACTGACACACAGTTACAGAGAAGATCAATTTGAGGTCCATCTCTATTCTGCCAAACAGCTAAATGCTTATCTGCTGAAGGGAGGAAACAAGTGAAAGAGAAACAAAAAGTTAATTCAGGAATTTCAGAATTTTTTCCCTATTGCATTCAAGCTGGCATGTGTCTTGTCTCAATGTCTTCATGAGCAAAAATTTTCAAAATTAGCAAATCTTATGAACTTTGATATATTTATCAGCTACTTTTATAATTATCCAGGGCTTCTACTTTCTTAGAATGTCTCTACCTTTCCATACTACTGGTTTTCAATGACTTTTTGCCACTTGTAGAACCAGGTACCATCCTACATTTTCCTATGAAAATGGGAAGTTTCTTTGTTCCCTAGTCCTCTTTTCCTCAGCATGGTAGATGAATGTTCCTCTCTTATTTTCTGTCTCTCTCTTCCTCTGACTCTCTTTCCCTCTATTTTTCTTTTTTTTCTTCTGTGCTTAAGTTTGATTTTATCTTTTGTTCTTTTCTTTTTTCACTTGTCATATTTTATGTTTTGTTCATTTGTTTGTTTGCCTCTGCTGAATTATAGATTCCATATTGAAAAATAAAAATTGGACAGCTTTGTCATATTCTTTGAGGATAGCCACTCTGTAAGTTTATTCACAAAATATTCTATGTTGAAATACAAGTAGTTAAATTATATTCAGGACCAAAGAAAGTGTACTGTCATGGTTTTATTTTATAATAAAATATAATAAACTTACAACAATAATGTTAGAAATTTTCTCGATTAAAATGTGTGGCAATATTGAAAAGTAACTTAATATAGGCCTTCCAGAAGGAAGAAGAATGAAGAAAGAAGCAAATACGGCCAATTCAAGTATCTATTCCACGAGTTACTTTCTATTTTTCAATAGCAGTTGATTTCTCCTTACCTTGTGCCTTAGAAAGTAGGTTTGGAAACTATTCCTTCCCCTTTCTTTTGTTTCAAACGTAACTCTTTAAAATAATCTTGAATACCAAACTTACGAGTTAAATGGGGAGCATGAATTTATTCAGGCGAAACTGAGGGATTTAGTGAATTTGTCTTCAGTTAATCCGGGTTCCTTATTCAAAAATCCTTTTCTGAACCAGTTATTGTGAAAAGAGGTGTTCTTCCCTTCTCTCTGCCTCTAAATCTCTAAAACTTTGTTCACATTAATTTCATAAAAGTTTAAGAAGAACTTGTAAATGCCACGACTTTGGACTCACTTAATCTTGGAGATCGTATTATTTGTTTTGTCTAATATGGAGCCTCATCATTGTTGTTTCTTTTTTTAACTGAATTATTTATCAACAATTAAAAATTGAGATCTTTCACATAAAATATATGGCTCAGGGATATACATCAAAAGCCTTCTGATCTTTTGACAGATGATTCTTTTCACTGGGCTATGAATAATGGCTTTGGATATTTGAGATATGTTTTCAACAGAGTCTCATCCATAGTTGAAAATTACAACTTTTGGCACCTACCTGCTTCTCTTTTCTAAAATACCAGTCAACTTGTCTCTAACATGCTGGAAAATCTTGTTTTCACTAACCGTCCAGGTTACAACCTCAATAAGCAAAAGCCAATACTTCTACATAAAGATTGAAAATAGAAAAAAAGAGTATGAGTCATATGTAATGTAGATAAAAAGTGTACCTTGCTTATCATAGGTATCTAAGCAAAAGAATGGGGCAGAAACAATATTTGAAGAGAGTACAGTTGGGAATTTACCAATCTTGATAAAAGGCATCAACTCACATGTGAAATAATAGGAGAATGGTGTAGATCTAGTCTAACTAAGGTGGAGATGGCTGAAAAAATGGGTTTTAGCGGACATTACCTGGAGAGTGTCTGAATATAAGCTCCAAAACTAAACTCAAAAGGTTTTTTTATTGTTTCTTTAAATCATTGAACAACTGAAATAATTTTTTTGTTGTTTACCCTGATTGGCATACTCGAGATAAAATGTTCAGTTTAAATTTTTTACTATCCATCAAAAAATTGGTTTACTTTTTGTATTAGTTTATTCTCATACTGCTATAAACTACTACTTCTTTATAAATTAGCAGGTAATTTATAAAGAGGTTTAATTGATTCACAATTCTGCAGGCTGTACAGGACGCATGGCTGGGCAGGCCTCAGGAAACTTACAATCGTGGTGGAAAATGAAGGGGAAGCAGGCAGTCCTACGAGGCTGGAGCAGAAGGAAGAGAGTGAAGGGGGAAGTGCTACACATTTTTAAACAACCAGATCTCATGAGAACTCACTCACCAGCATGAGAACAGCAAAGGGGAAGTCCACACCCATGATCCAATCACCTCCCACCAGGCCTTCCCCAATATTGCGGATTACGATTTGACCTGAGATTTGGGCAGGGACACAAATCCAAACAGTATCACTTTTTAAAAAGTATAAACAAGATTCAATATTTACAGACATTCTGCATTTTTTCTCTTTCCAGAGTCTCCCCTGGGAGAGGTTGGGAGAGTTGTAAGATTTGGACATAGGTCTGGCCCAAGTGAAGGAGAAAGAAAAAGAGAAAGAAGGGCTTGAGACCTATGCAGGGGACAGTAGCTCTTTAAGGTCATTGAGGAAACCCTGAGTCAAAGCTGGCTGTCAAGTATCTTCCAGGAATCCCTATATCTCCACTGTGCTCAGTCTTTGCCTGGGAGCAGCCCAGAGAAAGCAAGCCTTCCCAAAAAGTGCAGTGTTAACTTTTAGAACACAGCAAGCAGGGTCATTGGTTATTTAAGCCTCCTGTAATTTAAGATCCAAGATGTGAATTCTCCAGGCTGCCACACATGTGAATGAGAATCTGTTAGGACCATGGACCTCATATTAGATGCATTGAATCTGAAATTCATTTATTTTTTCCCTCACATTTCAATGATGTTTATCTGCCACTTTGATTCTCTTCATAAGGCCCCGAATTGGTTTTCATTTGTGATTGTCTCAGTTCCATCCTTTGCTGTCACCACATCTCCAAATAATTGTCCAGGTTTCCTTCTGGTCATAGGCATCAATGTTATTCAATTTGTCTTGACTTATACTTTTTCTTCTACACTGGATGTGAGACACAGTGGGTAGTAGTACGCAATAGATGAAGGAAACTTTTGTAGAATGAGAAAGGATGGTGATAAGTAGGTTTAGTTTTTAGCAGGTTTCTCATTAAGGCCAAAGTTGTATCTCTAATCCATTGACAAAAAAAGACACGTAACTTTATCTCATTTCTCACTGTTTAGGGAAAACTATTGGCCCATAACAGCCAATAACAAGACACATGAAAATTATGCTAGGAGGAAAAGGAGGTGCCTTCCTAGACATAATAAAATAAGCATTAATACAAAACAGTCATAGCATTTCTGACGTAAGTGCAGTTCATTGACTTTGTGTTATAACACCAAAATTATAGCACCCATAAATACAACATGTGGAAAACTATTCAGATGCAATTACAGACAAGATTGCTCAGTTACACATATGTAAATGAGGGAGCACAAAAATGTGAAGGATGACTCTGTTGGGCACCACACCTATTGCTGAGAGAATATAAATGGCACTGTCCAGGATGCAACATTAAAACTCAGAATCTTCCCAGGGACACTCAGCTGAACTCACATCCCCCGTCAACATGTCCTACAACTGCTGCTCTGGAAGCTTCCCCGCCTGCTCCTGTGGGGGCTACCTGCGCTACCCAGGATCTTCCTGTGGCTCTTCCTACCCCAGCAACCTGGTCTACAGCACTGATCTCTGTTCTCCCAGCACCTGCCAGCTGGGTTCCTCTCTCTATAGGGGCTGTCAGGAGACCTGCTGGAGGCCCAACAGCTGTCAGACATCCTGTGTGGAGTTCAGCCCCTGCCAGACCTCCTGCTACTACCCCAAGACCCACATGCTCTGCAATTCTTGCCCGACTATGCACGTTGGATCTCGGAGTTTTGGATCCAATAGCTGCTGCTCCCCGAGCTGTGGATCCAGGAGCTGCTCCTCACTAGGTTGTGGATCCAATGGCTTCAGATATCTGAATTATAGAATCCATGTCTTCCCTTCCCAGAGTTATAGATCCAGATTCTGCTACCCATTTAGGAGGTGGTTCCATTCATCTTGTTATCAGCCATTCTGTAGATCTGGTTTCTACTGACTAATGTGACTGCTCAAACCCATTTGAGAAATGCGTATCTTTAGTATAAAGTCATCTATTAATTTCCTCTTTTGAGAAGTATTCTAATATTATTGATCACCAGGTCTACTTTACTTTCCAGTCTTCAAAAACTGGCTTGTATGTTAGTTCTGTCAAACTGCAGTTTGGATCAATGACTGATCTATAACTGGATCAATCTGGATCTATAACTCTGGGAAGGAAAGGCATGGATTCTATAATTCAGATATCTGAAGCCATTGGATCAATGAATGATCCAAACTGCATTATAGATACAATTTATAGTTTTGTATTTCTTTCCAAAAGAGATAAATGAAAAAGATTTTATTTTAATAAACTCTTCATTCTTCTGTCCAAACGTGCTGTTAATATTATTTATTAGTAAAGCATTGACTAGGATGTGCATTGTCACTGCTTCTAGTAATGGGCTTTGCAATGCCCAGATTATGGTGTCTCTGCACTAATTTTGGTTGGGTTTTAGATATTTTCCTCCTCTTTAAGCAGGAGTTTCTGGGATTCTCACAGTTTCCAAGGATAGCCTTTCTCTTAAGTACCCTTGTTAGGATAGTTAAGATAGCCTTTGCTATCATTTTTGATGATAGCCTTTCATCAAAATCATCAAAAATGATTGTTTGGGTTGCATCCTGAAATAAAATTGGATAGGCTGTACTTACATTGTTCTGCTCTCTCACATCAAAGTGTTATGAAAAGTAAGTTACTGAGATAATATAAAAAGCATTGACTATCTTTGTTCACTCCTTGAATATGCCATGCATGTCTAAGGACAGAATGTATCAGAAAAGTTTGAAGAGTACATGAACAAAATTTTTATTTATATGATTAGGCCTGTTCATGAAGTGTATTAAAATGTAAGACTAACACATGGATGTAAATGTTTAGAAAAGAGCACCTATGAGCATAAGGTAATGACAGTGCAGCAGTATCACTTATTTTTAATTAGCTAAATCCCAGTACCCCAATTACTATTTTCAATCTGCTCAAATGATCTCCATTTGTTTAAAAAGGCAGGCAACAAACGTTGATGGGAAGGAAGTAGGCTCAGCAGGTGTTAGTCGTACCTGGGTTATTTGCCAAAATATCTAATCTAATTGAAAACTCTGAAGCCTTTACTATCATCAAAAATGATTTTTTGTTGTATCTTGAAATAAAATTGGATAGGCTGTACTTATGCTGTTCTGCTTTCTTACATCCAAGTGTTATAAAAAGTAAAGTACTAAGGCAATATGATGGTAATGGGAGACATAATATTTATATAAAACAAGCAATGTTCAAGTATTTTCCTATTCTTTATAAGATCTTCGAACAGTCTCTGAAATTAGAAATAGAATGCAGAGTATTAGATACTTGGCAAAAAACCTTAGTCATAAGTATATCACAGTCATCTCATCATGTTCTCTTTACTTCCTCTTTTACTGCTAATGCAATAAAATATGAAATACAAAGAGAACTGTAGAGTTCATCGACTTCAACATCCTTATTCTACAGGGGTGGAAATGGAAACAGCAGCATTGGATAGAATTTTAAAATGTTGCTCAGCAAGTTATTGTAGAGCTGTGAGTAGAACTACTTTATTCCACCCAATTTATTTTATTGGATCTGTCCAGCTGTGACATTTTCTCTTGTCGCCTCCCTTCCCTCATTTGCTCCCTATTTTCCTCTTCTTCTCTCCCTCCTCCTTCTCCTCCATCAATTTAGGAAATAGTCATGGTGCTTATATAGTTAGAGGAGAGAAATAAGGAACAATGAAAGAAAATGCATAGGAAAAATTATCAGTGATTGAGTTACAAAAATTAAAATGACAAATTGTGACATCCTCTATAAACTCAGTACTTTTAATAATTTCATTGATTTTTTAAATTTTAGTGATTCTAGTTAGTCCCATGCTCATAATATTTACCCAAGAGTAATGATCAAGCCTTATGCTCCCCAAAACATAGGGAATGGCAAGGGTTTAATGAGGAGCACCTATAGCTTCTTGGCCAGGCTGAGGTCTTCTCTATTATTGTCTCCAAATTGCAGATGCAGGAATGGTCTTCTGGCTTTCAGGAATACACTCTAATCTTGGTTTCCTATTACTGCCATCGCAAATTACATTAAACTTACAGTTGTAAGCAATACAAATTTATTATCTTTTAATTCTATAGGTCAAAATCTGATGAATCTGATGACCTCACCGGGCTAAATCAAAGTATATTGGCAGGGCTGAGTTTCTTTCCAGAGGCTCTAAGGGAGAATCTATTTCCTTGCTTTTTATAGATTCTAGAGCAGAGGTCGTCAACCTCTGGGCCATGAACTGGTACTGGTCCATGGCATGTTAGGAACCAGGCAGCACAGCAGGAGGTGAGTGGCAGTTGAGCAATGGTTACTGTCTGAGCTCTATCTTCTGTCAGATCAGCGGCAGCATTAGATTCTCATCAGAGCACAAACCTTGTTGTGAACTGCACATGCAAGAGATCTTGGTTGCAGGTTCCTTATGAGAATCTAATGCCTGATGATCTGGCTTCCATCATCTGAATACGGGACCATCTAGGTGCAGAAAAACAAGCCCAGGTCTCCCACTGATTCTACATTATGGTGAGTTGTATTTGTGTTATTTCATGATATATTACAATGTATTAATAATAGAAACAAAGTGCACAATAAATGGAATGTTCTTGAATCATTCCAAAACCATCCCTCCCCTCTCCTCCATTCTGTGGAAAAACTCTTTCAGGAAACCTGTCCCTGGTACCAAAAAGTTTGGAGATGGATGTTCTAGAGGCCACCTACATTTTTTAGTTCATGGCCCCATTCCTCTGTCTCCAAAGACAGTAGTGGTGGGTCCAATCATTCTCATAGTGCATCACTTAGACCTACTTTTCTGCCTTTACCTCCCACTTCATACTTATAATTACATTGGGGTCGCCTGGTTACACAACATTACATTCCAGGAATAAAGCCTATTTGATCACTGTAAATTAACTTTTTGATATGCTATTGGATTCTGTTTGCTAATGTTTTGTTAAGTTTTTTTGTGTTTATTTTATTAGGAATATTGGACTGTAATTGTCTTTTCTGATTTTGTTTCTGCCATGTTTTATATCAGGCTGATGCTGACTTCATAGAATGAGTTAGGGAGGAGTCCCTCCTCTTCAAGTTTTGGGAATAGTTTCAATAGAATTGGGACCAGCTCTTGATTGTACATCTGGTAGAATTCAGCTGTAAATCCATCTGGTACTGAGCTTTTTTTTTTTTCTTTTTTTTTTTTTGGTTGGTTGGTTGGTTGGTAGTTTTTTTTATTATTTATTCAATTTCAGAACTCAATATTCATCTCTCCAGAGTTTCAATTTCTTCCTGATTCAATAGAGGTATTTGTAATAGTCTCTGAGGATCTTTTGTGTCTGTGTGAGATTCATTGTAATGTCACCTTTTTCATTTCTGATCATGTTTATTTGAATCTTATCTCTTCTATTTTTTGTTAATCTAACTAGTGATCAATAGATCACTAGTTAGAATTATCTTGTTTATCCTTCCCAAGAACCAACTTTTTGTTTAAATTGATTCTTTGTATCAATATTCAGGTCTCAATTTTTTTCCATGTGTGCTTTGATTTTGCTTGTTTCTTTTCTTCTGCTAGGTTTGTGATTAGTTTATTATTGTTTTCCTAGTTTCTCTGGGTGTGATGCTAAATCTTTAATTTGAGATCTTTATAACTTTTTGAGGTAGGCATTTTGCTCTATAAACTTTCCTGTGAACACTGCTTTTGCTGCATCCCAAAGATTTTGGTATGTTGTGTCTCCATTTTCATTCATTTCAAAGAATTTTTAAATTCTGCCTTGATTTCATTTTTTAACCCCTAAGTCATTCAGCTGTTTAATTGCAAGGCAATTGTGTGGTTTTGAGAGATAGTCTTCATGTTAATTTCCATTTTTATTGCACTGTGGTCTGAGAGTATGGTGAAATGAGTTCTCTTTTTTTAATTTATTGAGACTTATTTTATGCCCAAGCATATGGTCAATCTTGCAATACGTTGTGTGTGCAGAAAAGAATAATACATATTCTGTAGTAGTTGGGTAGACTATTCTGTAGTAATCCAGGAAATGAAGAAATGAAGAAAGAGTTAACATCTTAAAAAGAAATAAGTCAGAGCTTCTTGAAATGAGAAACTCACTTAAGGAATTTTAAAACACCATTTAAAGCTTTATCAATAGACTGAGCCAAGCAGAAGAAATAATTTCAGAGCTTGAATATTGAACTCTCCTAGGTAGACAAAAATTTAAAAAGAAGAGTTTTTAAAAAATTGAAGTCTTTGAGAAATATGGGACTATGTAAAGTGACAAGTCCTATAAATTATTAGTATTCCTGAGAGAGAAGAAGAAAAAGTAAACAACCTGAAAAACATATTTGAGGGAATCAATTAATAAAATTTCCCTAATGTTGACTGAGAGATAGATATTGCGATACAAGAAATCCAGAGAACACCTGTAATTTGCACTACAAAATGAATGTCACCAAGGCATATAGTCACCAGACTGTCCAAGGCCAATACTAAACAAAATTTTTTAAAGGCAACCAGAGAAAAAAGTCAGATCATGTACAAAGAGAACTCCATCAGGCTAACAGTGGACTTTTCAGCAGAACCTTACAAGCGAGATTAGGGGCCTATTTTAAGCATTCTTAAAGACAAGAAATTCCAATCAAGGATTTTCTGTTAAGACAAACTAAGCTTCATAAGGAAAGGAGGAATGAAATCTTCCAGACAAGCAAACTCAAACGGAATTTATTACCACTAGAACAGCCTTACAAGACAGCTTAAAGGAGTTCTAAACGTGGGGGGGGGGGGGGAACTGCTGCCACAAACACATATTTAAGTACATAGCTTACAGACCCTATAAAACAACCACAGAATAGAGTATCAACAAAGCAGCCAGCTAACAGCTTCATGATAGGATAAAAACTTCACATATCAATATTAACCTTGAATGTAAATGAATGGCCTAATGTGTCATTTGAATGGCACAGAATGGCAAATTGAATATAAAAAAGAATATTAATTTGCTGTATTTAAGAGACCCCTCACACACATTATGACACCCCTAGGCCCAAAGTAAAGGGGTAGACAAAGATCTATCCCACAAAAGGAAAAGTTTCTTTCTGTTGATTTTCAACCTTGTCTTGGATCTCATTGAGCTTCCTTGCCATCCAT